ATAGATTATATTTTTATCAATCCAATTCTGCAAATATAGTGATTTGTTCCTCTTAGTAATACATTCGTTATTCCAGATAATAGATCTATGTGGAGAAAAGTTATGTGAATAACATAATTTCCAAGCCAACAATGCCTGTTGATAAAATGCAGACATTTTAACTGGTAACTTTGATATACTATAACTACAAGACAATAGGAAGTGTAATCCTCCAACATTTCTAAAAATGTTATGTGGAATGAAATGCCATAATGATCCAGGAGATTTTAAGCATTCTTTTAGCCATTTCACCTTAAATGTATAGTTCAGGTCCATGAAGTCCAGAAGGTTATTTTTTATAACTCATTAACAAAGAGTTTGCTTCCATTAGCACACTGCACTATGCTGTTACTGTTTTGATTTAATTTGACAACTAAGAGGGTTTGGATAGTATTCTGACAGCCAATCAATGTCATTTAGATTGTTTGAAAAAAAGAAAAAACAGCCTTACTGACTCTTTAGTCCATTTTGTGGGAGCGCCTTCTCCAATTTCACGGGAGTAATTTGGTAGAACACAGTTCCTTGTTTTTCATTCGGAGCCTCCACTCACTCCTATTCCACCACACCCTGTCTGTCTGATGTTTCTATCTGAGGAGAAAGTACAGCTGATGTGCTGCTAAGCTGCAGCTAGCTGCAACTTAAATAAAAATTGATGATTCTACAGTTTTAAAAAGTGTTTGGAAAACACTCCTTTGGGGTGCGATTACCGGCCTATCGTTTCCATAACAACTGAACTCCTCACACTGATGTATTATTAAAAAGCAGAAACAGTTAACACAAACTGGTGATCAGCAATTTTTACTCAGTCTAAAATTTATTATTAACGTAAATGTTAGTGACCAGCTGCTGAAGCTGTATAAAAAGTTTACTTTACCACTTTAAAACATAAAAACCTTTACAATATCTTCGTAGCGTACCCACTAGAGGGGGTACCCGTTAGCAGCTGACATTATAACAACCATTTCATGAACTTATCTGACGTCTCTTAGCAGTTTAAGGTCTGATGTTTTGTCCCCCCCACCCCTTTTTTTTTTTTTTTTTTTTTTTTTTTTTAAATCAGAGTGGCTGAAACATTTTGGATTCCTTCATTTTCACACAAAAGCCAAAATATACAGAGAGTTGACAAAATGCAGAGCAAGGAGATAATGAAACGGTTTACTTTTGAATGCCTACACATAGCTCCAGATGGGGTATGAATTAAAAGAGCACCAGGGAGTTTTCTGAAACGCAAGGCAGTTATGGCTGTGACAGTGGGAGGGGGTCAAAAATTACTTGTTGAGGACTGGATTAAAACCATAGGAGGAAGGCAATATTAAAACGATCAACCGCAGAGAAATGTGACTTTTGTCCTACTAAGTTTGGCCAGAGCAAAAACTTGGAAGTGACTGAAAGGAGTGTGAGCCAAGGATAAATGAGAAACAAACAGCAGAGCTGCCATTAGAGATGTTTAAATATTAAAAAGGCTCAATGTGTCATGGACGCACACAAAGGAGACTGGTGTCACCGGTCGTCTGGGAAACTCCTGGGACCGGTTTGGTTTCAAGCCTTTTGACTTCTATAGTGTTACTTACATCAACAAGGGCACAGCCTAGGTCTTTCCTCTCTTTCTCTCTCTGAGACACACACATGTGCAGACACGCATAAACAAATCCTGGCTCTCTGCTGTTCTCCCTCCTACTGATTGGTCTGCTATGAGCTTGGATCCACCCACAGTGAAGCTGCCTTACCTTTAAACTCAAAAATCCAGACTGGCAAACTTCATAGTAAACAAAGGTGGAAAAAATGAAAATTAACTGTTAAGTGCTGTTTACAATTTCCATTAGAGGAAAAAAAATACATAAACACAATGTCCCCAGCATGTCATCTCACTCATCGGGGTTTCCACCAGTCTATCCGACCAATCTCAACAGCCTGCTGTGCCTAAGATGACCCCCTGCTGGGCTGATGCACTGGCGATCTGTTTTTTTTTTTTTCTCCAGACAGCTGCTAAAACGGAAGATTCCATATGTCTGTATTTATTTGTTTATACTTATTTTATTTATTTAAAAACAACAACAAAAGGAAGTTTGCTGATGTTTATTACGGCATTGTTCCTGTAAGCAAAGATTGATCATCAAGTGAGCTTAAAAAAACTATGAAAATGTTTTTTTAAAAAAGGAAGTAAAAACAAAGCCAGACACACATTTCATAAATTTTGAATTTTGCACCTCCAAATCTTCGGAACAACTTACCTTTTTTACATAAGAGTTGCCCATTCTTTTTAAATCACTTAAAAAACCCTATTATCCTAGTGTCCTGTCTTTTCTTATGCAAACACAGTCTTGTTTACTTGTTTTCATTGTTTTCAGTGTATATTTTGTATAACCTGTACAGCAATTTGGCCAACGGAGGTTGTTTAAAATATAAATGTGTCTGTTCATCCATTTATGCCCACTAATTAAGGTAGGAAAGGCAGGATATCCTTGTCACACTTTGAGCAACTAGCATTATAGTGTTATTCTTAAGTCTTCTTCTTAAGTCACATACATAGCCGACATCAGTCCAGCAGTGAAACTCATCCGGTTCAACCTATTATAAAACCATCATTCTTATAAAAATAATAGCATTTCTGTATATCTTCATCCACATCTGTAATCTTTAACAAAGATGATATTTACTTAAAAGCTCCATTGATCAGCTTCAGCTAGAAGTGAGTGTTTATCAAGCATCATCTATGTGAAGGTGATTATTTCTAACATTTTTCTTAGACGCCTAGTTTAAGTAGTTTGCTCTCAGTGTCCTTTAAAAAAGCACCTGCTTTCTTAATGCCATTTGTGGAACTTTCACGGCTGCTTTTTCTTCTGTCTGCCTTTCCTTTCTGTGCTGTGAGAACAGGATTGTAAATGGATTTAATAGCTCTTCCACTTGACAGCCGTTATTACAGATGTGCCTGAAAGGGTGATTAGAAAATGGGCAGCTGGACCATGTAGAGAGAAATGATTAGTGCAATGTACGAAATGTATTCTCTTCTTCTGAGAACTCCTGTTCTTGTTTAACCCCACTGAACCCTTTCACTGGGAAATATGATTTTTCAAATACAGCTGTCTGAAGTTTGAGCACTAATGGAAAAGCAGCTCTTCACATCTGCTTGATTAAGAACCAGCTGTGGTTCAGTTGTGATGTTTGCACTGGCTCTCTCTCTTCTTAAAAAACCCCACATGGATTCATAGGTTACATGTGAGATTAATGATCCTTATATTTGTATTGTGTTTGACAAATTTGTTTTTTATGTTTGGGAAATTCCAGATTCTAAAGCCACCCAGAGAGCTTTGTCAGACTGTTTGATTGTTGCCTTGTCAGTTTATCCCGAATCATCCACAGGAGGTTTTTGATCCATTTCATCAACCTCCAATCATCTGTTAAAACAAAAACAAATAAATGAGGGATCTGTATCCAGGTCTTGTTCTCATTTAAAAAGAAAAATGTCTATATCGACTCACTCCCAGCAAAATAATTTCATAATTATTCCTCTGAGTCATACAAAAACATAAATTACTAGTAATTTCAGTATCAGAACATTGAAAATAGATAAAATGACAACAAATATGAAAAGGAGACCACAGTTTTAATCTCATTTAAACACCTTGGTCTGCATGGACTTGAAGTTCCCACTGTTTCCACAATAAATAAAAACAACTTGGTCAACAGAAGATGCACTGCGATCTCTAAATCTAGTAAATGTATTTGGAGTGTGTGCTACCTGCTACCCTTTTCAGTATAAAAAATACATTTATAATAATAAATTTAAAAGGATGTAAAAAGCTAGTATTTGTAATTTATCCTTTTTTTCTTAATCCTAGATCTCCAGTGAAGCAGTAGCTGAATGTGTGAAGTTATTATTAGACCAAACATATAGAAATATGAAACAAGCTGTTTTTAGATAACATCCCTTATAGTAGTTTAGCTGGAGACTCCTTTAACATGTTGTGTTTTAGTTTGGCACCAGCTTTGAGATATCGCCCGATGCAAGCACATCAAACATTTTAACAGCTGGCTCTGAGAATATAGCACTAGTCTTTGTTGAAAGTATTTGCACATAAATATAGCATAAAAAAAACTTGCTAATGTGTTTGAAGGTGCACAATTGGACAATCCGAGATTGAATGGGCAGTTAAGATGGATGTCCTTTTCAGTGCGTACTACATAAGTATGCTTACCAAATAGGGTTGTCCACAACAGTATGATTCTACATTTTTACATGATTATATGATATTTGCCATATCAATGATATGGCAAAACCATTGTTTACTTTCCCAAGCACATGCAACAATGGCACATGTCTGATAGAGAGAGTTGCTTGTCAGCCTCCTGACGATTTAGTAAAATGGGAACTATTTAACGAAGCACAATGTTTTGCAAAAATATGGGGAAAAAATCGTTCTTGCTGAAGGTGGAAACTACAAAATTGGTTTTTCCACTTGGGGTAAAAACACACCATCGAGTAAAACCAAGACATGAAGACACGCAAGGATGAGATAACTAGTAGCTGGTACTTTTGTGTAACCAAGAAGTAAACAAATGACTCATTGGTGGAACTCTTGCTAATTGCAGTCCACACGACAGGAAGGACATTTCTGATGTGGTTACATGGTGAAAAGGCAGGGCTTTAGACAGCTAGTGAAAAAACAAAGGTAGATAATGTTTTTGAATTTCAGTTTTATGACAGTCGTGTTGTGCGTTTACTTACCAAGGCTACTTTTATGCTTACATGTGACTTCTGCTGTGTCACTGCCATTGCTGCTGCTGTTGTTGCTACTGCTGGCGATATATTCACACTTTGAATTAAGTAGTCTGTCATCAGTGACAGTAGCTCATTGGAAAAGATGGATTGAAAATGCCCTTCATCTTATTTGCACTAATAAATGCCGCTGCCTACAAGCTTCAATCACAGATAAAATGTTCTTCAGTATTTTCTATATTACCATAAATTTCATTATCACACATTTCCTTGAAATATTGTGATCATTGTACGGCTGTGTCACATACCTGTGATACTGAGACACAGATTTTTAAACTCAATTTCTAAATCTACTTGTGTGGTTTTTGTGTATAGGATGAAAGTTAAAAGTGAAAATATAGCATAATATACAGTTTTGTTCCTTTCTTCTTGTTTGTTTCCCTTTCTTTTTTGTTTGTTTTTCCATTAGAAACTGTGTACAACGTATCCCCAGATTACATAATCCTGATAGAGATGGCAGGTATTACTTTGACAATCATTATATGCAAATTACTCTATAGCTAAGCTGAACACCAAGATAAATAAATAAATAAACGAATGAATAAATCCATCTGAGGTTCATTAGGTTTTTCACAATCATTCTGGTTGTAATGATTAGACTACAAGTCTGATTTGACTGATGGAAGTAATAGAGACACGTGGAGTTTGACCTTTTTCTGGCATGAATTAAACATGTCGCCCTCACGTGGAGACCTGTTATTTAGCATCTCTTTACAGTTTTTCACTTCAAGTCATTAAACACAACAGTAATAGATCCTGCCAGTTACCAACTGTTACAGTTTAAGTAATGCTGGGAGCTGCACCTGGAAGTGCAAGCTTCCTAGATTTTCCTTTTCATGTATAATTTAGCCGTTCATAATTTATTATTAATACAAGCCCTTTTATCTCTCTTATACTGCC